TATCGTTCTCCTGTTCCATTCTGTATCTGTGAATATTATCATTTTTTAATTTTCCAGGTCTCTCAGTGTTAAACATCACCACTTGCTGGTCTGTAACGAAGGTAAAGTGTCGACCAGATAAATAGTAAAGCCATCTTTTTACAGCTTCTATAATAGCTGAAGCTTCCTTTTCTATCAAAGTGTTCAGTCGGCGTTAGTGATCGTGAGAAGAAAGCCACTGGCCTGATTCAAAACAGCAGCAATTGCCATATCAGAAGCGCCCGTCTTAACTAATAGGAGGATATTTTTCTTTAATAACGTGGAGTAAGGCACTTTCAATTTCTTCTTTAAGCCTTTGGAATGCTTCTACAGACTCTTGATTTAAAGAGAATGAGTCAACTATAATTAATAAATAAGAAAACAAGGACCCTGCTATGGGCAGCTTTTATCTTTAGGGATAGGTAATTCTTTAAGCGCGAGTATTCGGTCAGCATCAGGTTTAAGTACCCCATGAGATATGGTGAAGACAAGAAAAAGAATAGAAGAAGTGGTTGATAGGGAGGACGTTTTTTTTGTTGAAAGTAAGTTTGGCTCAACTTCGGTAATCGTACGAGAACCAGTGTTTCAGCGTGATATGGCCGTAAGCTCTTCTATGCGATTCCATCGCTAAAGGATGGAAAAATGGTCGATTTCTATGCTACATCTTTACAGAGTCAAACCAAAAATAGAGTAGGAATTTGTCAGAAAGGTTCATAAAAACTTCACACAAAAATATGAATAAAAGTCTAATCAGTCCAAAAAATGGAGCATTTCTGGAGATGCACAATCTTCATTTTCCAGGTTTGAAAGAGTTCAAAATCATATACGTGGCTTTATGTGGCAGGGATGACTTATTTTCCACCCTAAAGTCACTTTCCCACTAATGAAATGTTGCAAGCCACACTATTGCTACTTCCATGGCAAATGTTCAGATGGACTCCATTCTTTAGTGCCACCAACTCAGATCTGCTTTGCTATATTCAAAGTTGGAATTTGTCAAGAAATTTCGAGAAATTTTTAACGTGTTCCTCCTGAGTTCTGCCAGACACAACTATATTATCTACACATATATTCCTTGTAAGTTATTCCTCGTAATAATGTTGTCCATTATTCGTTGGAAGCAAGATACCCTGTTAGTGACCCCAAGGAGAATACAACAAAACTTGTATAATTTGCCATTAGCTTCAAACGAGGATACGGTTTGTCTTCCCCACGAATGGGTACTTGGTAATATGTGCTCTTCAAATCTAAAGAAGAATAAATTTTATATTTAGAGTTTTCCGAAGCCAGTTTGTCATTTTGTGTTAGTGGGTAAGCGTCGAGTCAAGTGAATCTATTGATAGTTCTATTATAATTCACAACCAATCTCTTTTTTTATGCCGTTCGTTATCAACAATTAAAGTTTGAGCTCACCAAGGAGATCTGCTTTCCTCAATTATTCAATCTCTTAGCATTTTATTAACCTAAGTTTTAATAAAAAGTTTATTGGCAGTTCAAAATCGCTTAGGTTTTGTAGACATAGGTGTGCAGTTAGAATCGAGATTCGAAAATAATGGAGGTATACCTACCATCGCAGATGGGACGCTGCAGGCAGTTGAACTCAAAATAGGCTTTTCTTAGGACCGCCAAATGCAAAGCATAGACTAGAATGTTGGATCATGAAGTCTTGCCCGAGACTACAAAGATCGAGAAGGGCATAAAGTGTAACATTCAAATACCACTCACTTAATAAATTGAGGGGTTCACCCCTTTTTATACAAATGGACTCACCCAGTATATACTACGGCTACGTGAAGACCCGAGATGAAGACCGTAGAGTCCAGTCGAGTCCAGAGTGACAGAGTAAAAGGTTGTAGGTAACCGGAAGAGTGAGGGTGAGGTAACAGCGTTGTAGGAGTCACAGTGAGCGAGCACGTAGACTCAGTAATAAGTCATACAGCGATACTTCAATACCAAAGACTGTATATATATTTTGCTACTAGCCCGTATTCCTGGAACTACTAACCTGCTTTACCAGTTTGTATTATTACGTTAATACATTATTTTCATATATTCATTCCTGGCGTTTGTTATTTATTGGTACCGGATTTTAACCCAGAATCCACAGCATAAATTTAAATTGACGGTGCACTGCCCTTTTATTGAAGCATTAAGATTGACAAAGCCATGGACACATTCCTTACCGCAAGTTTTATTTTTATCCGGTACCTTTTCAAAGGAAATAAAGGATCCAGAGCTACCAGTGTCCATTCGAGCAATGGCCTCATTTTTGCCGATCAATATGTATACCGTAGTTTGTTGTGGTCACCAATATATAAAATTGAGTGAGGTGGATGAGGTACCAACCGACCGACATACTTTGGAAAAGTATCCTTTTTTTTTTCTACATTTGCGACACGTGGCCGCTCTGGCATTTGGCACGCTTTACGGCAGCGACGTGATCGATTTCAAGAATAAAATTTAGTGCTTGTTAAGGCACACGTATCGCCGACAAATGAATCTTTGTGTTCTGATGCTATGGCTCCCACAGTTGGTGAGAGCGGATGTGAATATGATTCAGATTTTTCCTGTGCTGGGTATAGAGTTCTGGCTTGATTAACTGCCGTGTGCAGATCAAGGATTTTGTTTTCTAAAAGACGCTGTCGAATGGAATAAAAGTGCAATCCGGTAAGCGTCTCTAACGTAGTCGTCTCGGTTTTCAGCAGCGTTAATCGCTTTGAAACTGCATTCGTTTGCTAGTAGTTGTAACCCCTGAACATACTCAGCTTCGTCTTCTTTGTCCACGCGTTGCTTGAATATGTCTGGCGAAGAGTTCGTCTGTGGACTTCACGTATAATTCTTTGAAGCAATTTACAGCAGATTCGATAGTAGAATTATCGGCAATATGGTCGCAGACGTCCGAGGAAATGCTATTAACATTTCTAATTTGTCTTGTTCATCATGTACAGTATCATCTGTAGTTTTCCGTAGGAACGAAGTGAAGGTCCGATACCAATAATTAAAGATTTTAGTCGCCGAGGCTGAGTTAGGAGATGCGGCTAATCTTTCGGGTTTCAAATCCTTTAATCCACACTGTCTATTAAATAAATTATTAAATATTAGTAAGGAACATAACTAAATTACCTTGATGAAGGCTTTAATAAAGAGAGTGGTCCACCACAGATCTAAGAGCAAATTAGAATGCATTGTGGTCTCTCGTACAGTGTTAGAAATTTAGCTAGAAACCTGACTATAATGGATGGACAGTAAATATTTATGAGATGATAGATCTTTGTTCGAGTATGTTAACTTTGGTGTCAGAACACGTGAGAGGTGCAACTAATATCGAAAGGCTGTTAATGATAATTTTCTAAGCTTAGATTAGGTGTGGCACAAGGTCAAAATTATGGAGAACCCAGTGAGGATCGTACTACTCAAGAGAGGTTATGTCTGTAAGGAAGTATCATTGTGTATTGACTAATGAAAACACGAGAATCTTTTATGCGTGGCATTCCATTTTATTTCACTTAGGCATTTCGTCAACTATTGGTTGTGTTCGCCCCGTCCGAATATGGACCTTACATTCTCGGGTACGATGTTTAAGAGACCGCCTTCTCTTCTCTCTGTTTATATATCTGCCTATAATACGGTTATTTCTCACCCTTGCGTCAAATGCACATCTGGGCCTATCACGTGGATCTACACTTGGCGGATAGGAAACTGGCTTAGGTTAACCCTAGACCCGGCTTCTCTTACGTCACAATTAATCCAAAATATATTATGGCGAATTTGTTGTTGTGCTGCGATGTCTATCTCAGTTCGTTCCAAAAAACTAGCAGTTCTTGGGATGAAGCTACCCTAGGGGAACTTCTTCTTTACAAATGAAATCCAATGGTAATAAGGACGTCGATCCTGTGTATGTAGGATTGTGGACCATAGCTATGATGGTCTTAAACTGACGGAAAAAGTAATGAAGTTCGCCTGTACATGTGCTATGAAAATAGAGATAGAGTAATGAGAGGGTAACAAAGGTTCACCTGTGGGAAAGGAAAGAGTTTCAGGGTAGAAAATAATTCATCACCCACAAGGCTGTATAATTGTTTTTGAACTCTGTCAAGCCTGATATTGAGGACTGTGTAGCGCCAGCCTTGATGTGACAAGTCATTAGCAATACAAAATATGTTCTTACACAGGCAGAACAGTTCATATCTGCGAAAATTTAAGAGCGTTGTCGTTGTTTTAGGGAGAGAAAAGAGAGCAGACTCCCGTGCAGCGTTAAAAATAGAAACGTATCCAATTTTCCCATGGAACCGGGCATTTAATCAATGTATCGTATGGGTAATTACGAGTGTGGAATAAATAAGACGACGACGAAGACATCGCCCCCTAGCGAGGAAAATTGAATATCAGCTTTGTGCAGATGAATGAAGTTGAGAGGCCGGCATAATAATGATCGAAAATATTTTATCGTCCACAAGGATGCGTAAACGCTTTTGAACTCTGTCAAGGCTGGAAAATTGGGCAGCTCCAGCAAATGGCAACAATGCTCCATTTTTGGTCTGATTTGACATTTATTCATATTTTTGTGTGAACTTTTTATCAACCTTTCTGACAAATTCCCACTTTGAATATAGCAAAGCAGATCTGAGTTGGTGGCACTAAAGAATGGAGTCCATCTGAACATTTGCCATGGAAGTAGCAATAGTGTGGCTTGCAACATTTCATTAGTGGGAAAGTGACTTTAGGGTGGAAAATAAGTCATCCCTGCCACATAAAGCCACGTATATGATTTTGAACTCTTTCAAACCTGGAAAATGAAGATTGTGCATCTCCAGAAATGCTCCATTTTTTGGACTGATTAGACTTTTATTCATATTTTTGTGTGAAGTTTTTATGAACCTTTCTGACAAATTCCTACTCTATTTTTGGTTTGACTCTGTAAAGATGTAGCATAGAAATCGACCATTTTTCCATCCTTTAGCGATGGAATCGCATAGAAGAGCTTACGGCCATATCACGCTGAAACACTGGTTCTCGTACGATTACCGAAGTTGAGCAATGTCGAGTTTGGTCATTAGCTAGATGAATGACCGCTTGGGAATACCAAGTGCTGTAAACTTGGATGTGCGGGTGGTGTAATGGATAATGGCTCAGAATTGTTAATCGTAGAGCCGAGTTGCAACTTCAGTTGCTCTCGTTATATTCACTTACGCGCAGAGAGAGAGAGAGAGTATGTGATTACCTTGTTGTTAAATCGTCTCAGAACCACTATGACACCAAATGTTACAGGGTGTGGAAGAATTAGGAACAGAAACATTAATAATGAGCGGGAAGGGGACAGTAGATAGCAAATGACATTGCAATTAAATTTTTGAAGATTAAAGTTAAATGGCAAGAATGGAGCAGGAAGGGAGTTCCACAAACGAGGAAGGTGAGAAAAGAAATTGTTTGCTTAGAACTTACGGTTACATCTAGCCAGATCAACTATCAATATCGACGACAGTCTAGTCTTTTTTTGCCGCGCCCCCCTCAGGACTTTCTGATTGTTATTTTTCCCAAACCCTGTTCTGCCACCCATTTCCTCAAGCTCATCAAGTACGTTACGCGCTATTTTCCTCTGTCCCTCTTTCCTTTAATCTGTCATGTGAGTATCAGATTTTCCAAGCCCTCCTTCCTCATGACGTAGCCCAGAAATTTCAATTGAGTCTTTTTCTCCTTCAGATCTCATTCTCTGCACCGCCGTAACGTAGCTTTTCTATAAATACTTTCATGCTAATTATTTTCTACACAAATTAAGAACGCTACAACATCAATTATATGTTTAGGTTGGTTATTCTTTGTGTCGTATCATAGGCGATTATAGCGCTCCACAACTTCCTATCCTTTGTAGATCTTAAGTTTTGTGTTTTCATTATCTCTCCCAATCCTTGTCCTGAAATCCATTTACACAAGCTCGTTATGTTGGGTACTCCCTGCTTTTATCTGTTCCTCTTGCCGTCCTCTATGTCCTGTCAGTGTTAAGATGTCCAAACCGTCTTTCCTCATTATGTGTCCTAGAAATGTTAACGGTTTCTTTACGAATCTATGTATAAGCGCCCTTTTTGTTCAGTCCATTGGATTCCCAATATCCTTGGAAAGTGTTTAGATGAAGTACATGCCTTAGTTCCACCAGCTCGAACCTTCAAGTCTAAGACCCGCCGTACCACACACATCGTTGCGCACCACCCTTATTCCTTTCGTATTCCATTGGTGAGATGCAAGATCCACTCGAACAGCCTCTTCCCACGAACCATTGATCTGTGGAATTGACTCCCAAGAGGATGCTTCCCCAATCACTACAATCTTAACCTGTTCAAGTCTTAGGTTACCCTTTATCATCTTACATATCCTCTGTGCCTCATACACTGTAACCCTCTACCTCAAGTGGCTCTTGGGCTTTGTACAGTGTGAACACCATTGTAAAAGAAAATCCTTTTCTAGAACTACATTTCTGTTGCTTTAAGTCTCGTCTTGATCTGTGCGGAAATTGCTAAGCATTCAATGCCATACAGAAAGATATAACAGTTTAGCAATTTATTTTCTAATGAAATTTCCAAAGAGGATGTTTCTGATTTCAAGAAAAAAGTGTATTCCTTTGTATAAAAAGATTGTCTATTTGTATTTATCTTCAAAAACGTAAATGCAATGTAAGTCGTTTTTATTATAGTCAGTCAAAATGACAAAAATAGATTCGTTACGCTTCCTAATTAAATGTGGCAAACGCGCGTCTGTACAGACGCAAATGAGGTCACCTGAACATTTACTACGATATTCCTGTTCATTTATTATTCCCTCGCCTTAATACTTTTCATTTTCTCAGATTCTTTCACACTTAGTAATCTCCCTTGCGTCTTAGTAGCTTTATTGCCTTTCTTGAAGCGAAATGATTAAAATATATTTCAAAATAGAAGAAACATTACAAATAACCGCAGACTGTGTTATTAACTCCTTTTTTTTGTTTTGTCTTAACGACACAGATCTCTAGTTTTATTTCTTTATCCCGTGCACCTGCTTTTCGAAAGGTAGTCTTCTTTTTGTGAATTTAAACAGACGCTTTTGTAGACCGTTATAGAAGCGTAGCATCACAATATAATTTTTAAATTCTCGTAAATCTCATAGATATTAACAATTTCTGCAAATTCATGTCAGCCAGAATATTCTCATCAACAACTAAATGCATTCACATCATTTCAAGGGCGCCCCATTTAGAACATATAGCGCCAAGCCCATTTCTTATGAATTATTCATTGAATGAACGTGTATTCAACATTAAACGCCATATTTATTATAACGTTTCGGCCTTTCAGTATCTGTCCATATTTCTGAGATGAGGTATTATGTACATTATTTACATTATTCGGACTATTGTCCTCATCTTTGTCGCCATATTTATTATAACGTTTCGGCCTTTCAGTATCTGTCTATATTTCTGAGATGAGGTATTATGTACATTATTTACATTATTCAGACTATTGTCCTCATCTTTGTCGCCATATTTATTATAACGTTTCGGCCTTTCAGTATCTGTCTATATTTCTGAGATGAGGTATTATGTACATTATTTACATTATTCGGACTATTGTCCTCATCTTTGTCGCCATATTTATTATAACGTTTCGGCCTTTCAGTATCTGTCTATATTTCTGAGATGAGGTATTATGTACATTATTTACATTATTCGGACTATTGTCCTCATCTTTGTCGCCATATTTATTATAACGTTTCGGCCTTTCAGTATCTGTCTATATTTCTGAGATGAGGTATTATGTACATTATTTACATTATTCATCTTAGAGGTAACTGATAACAGACATCCATTAAACATGGCACGTGGAACTAGAACAGTCTACCCCAGTGAGCGAAATAAAGGGTTCAGTTCGCCATTCCAACCACTTGAAGATGGCCGAAGCGTACAACGGCCGAAACGTTGTAATAAATATGGCGACAAACATGAGGACAATAGTCCGAATAATATAAATAATTTACAACCTTATTCATTAACTCTCTGCCTTGAGTTGTTCTTGAGCTTTATTTTCGGTGAACACTAATAATTCTTTCTCCCCTAAGATGAATCTGCAGAGTATTTTCAAAACATATTTCTTTCTCTCTCTCATTTCAGGATGACAGCGGTCATCGTTCTCCACGGTTTCCTGTAATTTCTGCGTCATCAGTACTCGCTCCTTCCCGCCCCCTCTTTCTCATTGTCTTATTTCTTCATCTATTCGAACAATTAGGTTACTTGCTACGTTGTTGTGTTTCATTTCGATGTTCTCTGTAAGTGTTAAATTCTCCACTCCTTCTTTCCTCATTATGTGAACTAGAAATTCCGTCTGTCTGGCACTTTCTTTCTATTCTCTTCAGAACTTTCGCTTTTGTCACATGCTCTGTTCTTGGTATTCTCAATATCTAAAGCCTATTATTTCAATATATTATTATTATTATTATTGTGCTTGTGTCTCTCTTCGTTTGTTCCCATGAATATTACGCCTTGCCAATGCCTAATAAATAATGGATCATTTCGTTGTGATTGCGTGGAAAAACAAAGCATATCACAGACGCTACTTGGTTTCAGTGAGAAAATGAATGAAAGAAAAACAAAGGGGAAGATAGAAGTCTTTAACTGCTGTTCAAATTATTTTAGTTGTACTCCCTTACTTCTTTCTATAAAAATACCAACATTGATATTCATAATTGTTATTGCAATATTTTGTTAAATTTTTTATAGGGGAATTTCTACAGTATTGTCATGGAACTCGCCATAAGTTTGTTTAATCATTAATTTAAAAATCAAGATTCATCAGAACATTTAAATAGGAAAGCCGTGAAATATTCACGGGTCTTTCTACTTAGTATTATTTTGATATATTTGATTTATCAAAAGTACTTTATTTTTTTAAAGTTCTTTAATTTTAAGCTTGTTCCATGGACGCATCTATAAAACATTACTCCAGTATATTATTATTTTTTTTAAAGACAGAGTGTATGGTTGTCAGCAAAAGGGATGATATTATTATAATTATTATTCATATTTATATATATAATTCACTACTTGTCTTGTTATAGTTAAGGAAAGTTTTACAAATAGATGCCAACTTGTTGAAGGCCAAGTAAAATGCAAATTTCAAACACTTTTCTGCACTATATAAGACGATAATCAAAACAATCCTAGAATAAAAGAGCAGTAATGAAAGACAGTTAATTAATGAAATAATTTAAAAAAAAATAATTATGCAAAATAGTCAAACCTGAAGAGTGATATTACCTAAAAATAGATAATATATAATACAAATATTAATCTTTTAGCGCGTAAATTACCGAAAATTGAGCTCCAATTTCGCATAGATTCCATAATATGGGTTTTATTTAATTAGCTATTATGTTTCTCTAACTCTTCAAATGTTGAATGTATAACTAATTCTAATTTCTATTTTCCCATCTTTACACTATATTAATTTTATCTTATAAATTGTCCTCTGTTCTGTCACCCATGAAATAAGAATAGTTGTTTGTATGGAAAATAAGGATCTACGTACATCAAATCATTTTTAATTAAAGTGGCAGCAGAAAAGTTAACATTGAACTTTTAAAAGGTAAGCTTAAACATTAATTCAATACTTAAATGCAGCGATCAATGTTGAGTTCTTCTGTAGTATATTGATGCCTATCGCATCTACTCCTTCCTAGCTATTGTGATGATGGCCAAACCAAGAGTACTTCGCAGGAGCTAGCTTAAATTCCGACAGATAGGGCGCTTTTTAGCTAGCTTAAAATTTTAAGCTAGCTGCAATTTTGGATACAAAAAGAAAATAGTTACTCCCCTTAAACCATGAAAGCAACGATAATGGCTAGCATAATATATTAATATATATTTTTAACCTCGCATAATCTGGCAACCCTGAATCTGAACTCAATGAAAATGGTTTCCTGCACGTAACTTTTCTAGGGCTTTTGAATAAGCTATGACTCATTGAAATCGGGACAGTGGGAACGGAGGGGTTGCTTGGACACACACTGTACTTTATATATAAGATATATATATATATAATAAAACACTGGCTGGAACACTACCGCGGTTTC